TCAGAATCGTAGTGGACTACCGCAAGCTCAACGAAAAAACCATAGACGACCGCTATCCCATCCCGAATATTACCGATGTTTTGGATAAATTAGGCAGATGTAACTACTTTACAACTTTAGATTTAGCTAGTGGCTTCTACCAAATCGAAATGAAACCTGAAGATATCCAGAAAACAGCTTTTACCGTAGAGAACGGACACTATGAGTATGTTCGAATGCCAATGGGATTAAAGAATAGCCCAGCAACTTTTCAGAGAGTAATTGACGACATTATGAGAGGATTACAAAATGAGATATGTTTAGTTTATTTAGACGACATCATAGTATTTTCTACGTCGTTGCAAGAACACATTGTGAATTTGGATAAAGTATTCAAAAGATTAAAAGAGACGAATTTTAAAATTCAATTGGATAAATGTGAGTTCCTAAAAAAGGAAGTTACTTATTTAGGACACATTGTGACACCTGAAGGTATTAAGCCAAACCCCGATAAGATCGCAGCTATCAATAAGTACCCATTACCAAAAACAGCTAAAGAAATAAAATCCTTTCTTGGATTACTTGGATTCTACAGAAGATACATAAAAGATTTTGCTCGAGTGACAAAACCATTAACATCTTGTCTAAAAAAGGGTGCGAAAATTGAACACACACCACAGTTCATAAAATGTTTTGAAGATTGCAAAGAATTGCTTAAAAACGAACCAATCTTACAGTACCCGGATTTTACGAAGAAATTTATTCTGTCAACTGATGCAAGTAGTTTCGCTATTGGAGCAGTTTTAGCCCAAAATACAGGCGGACAAGAAAAACCTGTTGCGTACGCATCCAGAACGTTAAATGAATCCGAACAAAAGTATAGCACTATCGAGAGAGAATTATTAGCCATAGTATGGGCCACAAAATACTTCAGACCTTACCTCTACGGAGTTAAGTTTACAATAAAATCTGATCATAAACCGCTTAGATACTTAATGTCTTTGAAGGAACCAAATTCTAGACTAGTTCGATGGCGATTAAAACTAGAAGAATTTAATTACGAAATCGAATATATAAAAGGAAAGACAAACGGAAATGCCGACGCTCTATCTAGAGTTGAAATAAATACTAATGAATTTATAAAATACATGGAAAATCTTAATAACGACCAAAATATAGACAATGAGTCAGTACTTGCAAATGCAGGCGATTTGCAAACAATAGATGAGGAAAATCAAGAAAATGAAGACACAGAAGAAAATTTAGAAAGAGAAGACGAAATAAATCAATCAAATCCAGAAGGAGATAAAGAAGATGACGACAACAATACCGTACATACAAGTGCAGAAGATCCTGTTCTAGGAATGCAAATTTCGGAAAAAAGCATAAATTCTTTTGACCATCAAATTATTATTGACTCTGTTTTACATTCATCAGTTAAACCAAAGACCGAACAGATATTTCCCAACAAAAAACGTCTTTATATACAAATTTCTACTAATGACCTAGAGAATAACACCATAAACGTCTTTAAGAACTATATTCATCCAAAATATACATACGGTGTGTATTTCAAAAACCAGGACCAGAATTACATTTCCCAAATTCTCGAAGTATTACGAAAAGTATTCAAAAATTCTGCTTACAAATTAATTCAGTGTAATACAATTCTAAGAGACGTTACTGACAAAGATGAACAACACCGAACTATAAGACAGTATCATGAAGGAAAAACAAACCATCGTGGCATACTTGAAACAGAAACCCATCTTAAACAGCTCTACTATTGGCCCACCATGAAAACCGACATAACGAACTTCATAAATAAGTGTGAGATTTGTCAAGCTAATAAATATGACCGAAACCCTCCACGCCAGAAATTATCTGTTACACCAACACCGTCAAAACCAATGGAAATTATATTTTGTGACACTCTATCTGCACAAGGACATAAATTTTTGACAATTATTGACACTTTTTCAAAATACGGACAAGCCTACCCACTTACAGCATTAACAGGTATTGAAATAACAAGAGCATTTTTAATATTTATGTCTCATCACGGTGTTCCCTCTTTAGTTGTAATGGACAGAGGAACTGAACTAAAAAATTCGGTTGTTCAGGAATTTTTCGATGTTCACAAAGTCGAAACACATTACGTCACCGCAAATAGTACCCAGTCGAAAGGTGCTATAGAAAGATTTCATTCTACTATTATTGAACATCTGAGAATTATAAGAGCAAAAAATAATAATAAAATAGATATTCTAAACGATATGGTTTATGCAGTATTGGGATACAATAATTCGATCCATTCTGTTACGAAACAAAAGCCAATTGACATACTGAATGGACATTTAAATTCAAAAGAAATATTTGATATAAATTTGGATCAAATTGTAATTAATAATTATATCCAAAATCACAGAGAAGCTACTGCAAAAATTTACAGATCTTTAAACGAAAAACTAATATCTCAAAAGGAATCTACAATAGAACGTCACAACAAAGACCGACATGAACCATTACAATATTTACCCGACACTGATGTATACAAGAAGAACACGACCTTAACCAGAAACAAACTTAATCCAAAATTCTACAAAGAAAAAGCTATCGCGGACGAACACATAAAAGTAAAAGTACATAGCAATAAATTATTACACAAACAAAACCTTAAAAGACCAAAAACTAACCGAGCAACCTTGTTACAGGACGCTACTAATCCTATCGACCCTGGCCCTTCCTCTAGTAAGGACACAGGAAGTTCAAATAACTAACCTCCAAAATAATCCCGGAATCCTTCCGTATAAGTTAGGAGCAGCAAAGGTAAAATCCCAAATACATACATTTCTTCATTACTACGATCTTTCCCCTATAGGTAATGAAATAGAATCTATAAGATATGCATATAACAATGTAACACTTGCAATTCAAGATGGCCTCAGTCATCCTTATTTTCAAGAACTTCATAACTTTGACCATGCTCTACTTTTCCAACTTAAATCCGCTGAACAAAAATTTAATTCTTTATTGCCACCTTTTAGATCAAAAAGAGGTCTTATAGACGGTTTAGGATCTATAATTAAAAGTATCTCTGGTAATCTTGATTCCAGTGACGCCTTGCTTTATGACCAAGCCATCTCTGATCTCCAAAATAATAATCAAATATTAGTTAAAAAAGTAAATCAACAAATTTCTCTGACCAAGGATATAATAGCAAATTTTAATGAAACAGTAACTCTTATAAAGAACAATCAAGAAACTATTTTTATGGGTATAGATAAGATACGCACATCTTTAAATAAATTTATATTTGATTTCAGTGACTATTTGCAGACTAGAAATATATTAGATCAGTTAAACTTAAGCTTAAACATTATTTTACAACTTTTAGATGAAATAGAAAATGCCGTTACTTTTGCTCGACTTGGAATTTTACATAATAGCATTATTGATAAAAATGAGTTAAATTCCATTATAGACATTATTTTAAAATACCATACAAAAAATGAAGTACTTTTTCAAAATTTTAATGATACTTATAAATATTATGATATTTTAAAAACAGAAGCCTATTACTCTGAGACAAAAATTGTTTTCGCTGTCCACTTTCCTATTGTTTACCCAGAAATATTCTCCTATTATCATCTTTATTCAATTCCTACATCAAATCACAGTACCATTGTACCTCGAAATACCTTTCTGACTATGAATGAAAATTATTACCAATATCACTCACTGCCCTGTCTGGACCTGAAGCCCAATTTCTATTGTACTGATGGCGATTTCTCTGCTGGAGTAGAGAAACAAGATTGTATCTTTCAATTATTGCAACTGAAGACCAGTTCCACAACTTGCCGCAGAACTCCCGTCCGAATATCTGAGAATGTAATACAACAAATTGATGATTCACATTACATTGCCATCTTCGTAAACCAAACTAAAATCGAGACGATATGTCAGAAAACCGATTTTACAACATTAAAAGGAAATTTTCTAGTTTCCATTCCTTACCAATGCCAGTTCAAAGTAGATAAGAAAACGTTTATTAATAAGAAGACAGTTGTCCAAGGCCAACCACTTCTCTTACCTGAGTTAAGAGTTTCCAATGCTCAAGAAGAAGAAGAAGTCCCAGAAATTGTTCTAAAGGATATCCCTCTCGACAAAATTCACACAATCCAAAGAAATCAAAATCAAATTCAACCTGTGGTACTCCAGCATCTAAAGAAACGTTCCACAAACCATTGGACTATCATAATATATATATTAATAATAATTACTTTCATCTTCCTAGCCATTCATTATATTAAGAAGTTAAGAACAAAAGAAAATCCACATCCAACGTACAATGAACCACATATGGAAGAAGATGACCCCACAGTTCCTGTACCAAATCCAAGGGCATTTTTCACTCCATGAAATATGCCAAGAACTCGCAAGGGAGGAGTTATGGAAGCCGGCCCTGTTCCAGTCATTCGCCTAAGAATGATGATCTAGGATTTCTGTTTTAATGAACTTTGCAATCTGATTAGTTTACATTTTTATATTTACTTAGATATCATTTTTACCATTGCGTTTTTAATTAAATATACTTCAGTCTGTATTTAAACTTCAAAGAAAGCACATTATAATTTTATATAAAAATTGTCCGATCTTTTTACGTATTTTTGTAACCAATTAATAAAGTAATTATTTTTTAAAAATAGTTTTGCCTAAGGGAAAACTATAAGTCACGTAAAGCTAAATAAAAAAAAAAAAATAATTTCACCGGGAATTATTGCTAAAGGTCTTGATCATAAAGAGTTGGTTCCACCCCATGTTATACCAGGTTTCCTCAAAAGTATTATGTTTTATTCTGTATCAGTCTCTAGATATATTAAAGAAGTTAAAAACACTCCCATTTTCATATTCAGAAATGGAACAACAAATATGCGTTAACCAGATTTATCAAATCTTATTAATTTTTTGTACTGATGTTATAACTATTTTTGTTACACTAACTATATTTTCAATTTTAGTCCAGCTTTGTTGATATAATCAGCTTCAATAGGTACAACGGTTGGTACCAATATGAAGGAGATATTGACGTTGTTTCGTACTACGTCATAAAAGAGGCAGCATCTTGGCATGATAGGTTTAAAAAGCCTGTTATTATGCAGGAATATGGAGCTGACACCATGGAGGGTCTTCATTTCGTAAGTATATATTATTATATGGCATAATCTAATATTTTATATTGTATAATGAAAAGTAAATTAACAGTAATATTATTCCAGTTGCCCGCGTATATTTGGTCTGAAGAATACCAAATGAACGTAATGTCAGAACACTTTAAGGCATTTGATTATTTAAGAAGCCAGGGATTCTTCATAGGAGAATTTATATGGAATTTTGCTGATTTTAAGACTGCTCAAAGTAAGTACGGTAATGTTCCTTTAAGATTTCATTTAAAGGATACTTCACTTCCTGAAAAATTTATATTACCCACAAATTTACATTAACCAGAGATTTAATGACGTGAAGTACTATTTTTTTCAAAATTTAATCATTCAATAAATGATTTAAACCACATTTTTTATTAAATCAAGTTATCTCAATACGGTCTTCAAATAGTAGATAGGTAACTGACGTTACGCCGCTCCTTCGAAGCTTTGCTGCTTCTATGGTACTGCTGGCCATGCCGACACGCCCTGACCGCCAAGCCATAATTATCTATTTTTAATCCACATTATAAATAATATAAGAAGATAAGGGATGTGAGTTAAATAATGTTATAAGGGAATAAGAGGATGTGAGTTCAATAAGAGGTCGTTGAAAAGGGGAGAAGATGAGAGGTACAATCCTGTAGAAAAATTAAACATATCGATGGACGCTAGGCTTTAGGTATGTAGTACCTAAACGGCCCGTACAGAAAAATTAAACATAACATCATGCGATAAAGGCATTATATATGCACCTTGAACATTGAAACATTTGCAAAAGAATTCTTCCATCGATCAAATATCAACGCACTAACCAAGCAGATTTTTATGTACTAACTAATTTTTTTTATTTTCCAGCTTACACGAGAGTTGGAGGGAACAAAAAAGGAATTTTTACCAGAAATCGACAACCAAAATCGAGCGCATTCCATTTAAGGCGAAGATATTGGGGGCTAGCTAAAGAATATAACCCGAATGTAACTTTACCGGATGATCTGAACTCACCCTACACTGTCCGAGTATCCCATCGTCATACAGAACTGTGATTTAAATATAAATAAAAAAAATTTCTTTTACTAGTTTTCTTGTTCCTTTGATGTTTATTGCTTGCCTCCAAATATTGACAATAGCATTTTCGCTTAATTTGTACAGGGCCATCGAAAAAAAAAATGTAATTAGAGCAGGTCTTGGAATAAGCCTTCCTACTTAATAAGGTGGCGCTTTAAGTGTATGTTGTGCTTTGGCTCCTATAGATAGTTGTTAAAAATGGTGATACTTGTTTATTAATAGTTAAAATTCATAGTATTTATTTTTCATTAGGTCACGGAGAATGAAAATTTAAGAAAAACCCATCGACAACAGAAGCTGAATACGTCGAATGAGGAACATCTTCAAAGTCAGGCTAGAAACCGACATGAAAAGTAACATTGAGGAGCTCAAATTCGGATGTGGATTCGACATTTACTCCCAAAAGTCATAACCTTTCGGATAGAATTAAAGTACTCGAAGAGACTTATCAAAAATCTATTAATAGTGTTACGATTTTAAATGTTATGGCATATAGAACTGTAAATATTTTATGACTAATTCTTTTATTGATTCTCGTAATTTCTAGGTCAAAAATCTACCTGAATCGAATGTTCTGGGGGCGACAAGCCGATAAAAAAAAACATGTTTTGAGACCAGTCGCCGCTGTGTCAACATCGAGAACAGCATGGTATGTTCTACACCTTTCTGTTTACCGGCTTGGAATTATATAAATAAGGGAATACTTTCATTGAGGAACCAGTCATAAGAAGATCGGTAAACGCGGTTTACTTGTACGAAACGTGAAATAAATACATTTGTAAAAGTTATTTAATAAATTAGTAATTAGCTATCGTGAGTTTTAATAAATTAGATTATAGACAATAAATTAGAATAAAGACAAATAAATTAGAACTATATAAATATACAACATTTGGTGTCAGGTGTAGGGTATTTAAATAAACAAGCGGGACTTTAAATAAAAAGAAGTGAAATTGGTGAACAATGGCTACGATTTACGAGCTCACAGTTACGAATCTAAGAAGGCATCTTGAGGATAGAGAATTAGCTTCTACCGGAAAAAAGGCTGAGTTAGTCCAACGACTAAAGAATGCTTTGGAGGAAGAGGGTTTAGATCCGGAAACTTATATATTTGAAGATGCTGTCATCGCGTCAATTTCAAAATTAGAGAATAAAGTTTCTGGTGACATCGCATCGTTAGAGAACAGAGTTCATGGCGATATTTCGAAAGTTTCCTCTGATGTAGCCAAAGTCTGTGGTGATGTAGCCAAGGTTTCCTGTGATATCGCTTCTTTAGAAAGCAAAGTTTCTAACGAGATTTCTTCTCTAGAAAGCAAGGTTTCTGCTAACATCTCTAAAGTCACCTCTGAGATGTCTGCCCTCGACGATAAAATGTCTTCGTTAAAGAACCAAGTTGCTGCCGATATGTTGGCCTTCGAAGAGAAGATAAAAGAGATGGAAAGGAAGATGGAGGAAACAACGACCGCAGAGAGAGAAAACAATCCAATTATAGCAGAGACAAAAGAAGACGAGACGAAATATAAGTTGGAAACACGGCCGAAATTCGAAGGAAGCGGAGGTTATGTTCATGTCAAAGTTCCAACTTTCGACGGAAAATCGTCATGGAACAACTACATGAAACAGTTCGAATCAGCTGCAAGAGCGAATGGATGGTCAGAAAAAGAAAAGGCTGTAAACCTGACTATAGCTCTTCGAGGAGATGCCTTAGATGTGCTCCAGACCATAGCCGTAGAGGAGACGGATGATTTCGAACAACTAAAGAAGAGGTTAAATATGCGATATGGCCACGAACACTTGGAACATGTATATCAGTCGCAGCTCAAAAATCGAAGACAAAAGAAAGATGAGGCTCTTCAAGAATACGAAGTAGATATCGCCAGATTAGTGCGATATGCTTATCCAACAGCTCCCGAAGACATGATGGAAAAGTTGGCCGTTCAAACATTTATTGATGGTCTTCGTGATCGTGAGATGCAAAGAACACTACGATTAGCTCGTCACAAGACGCTGGTTGATGTCTTATCCGCCGCCCTCGAATACGAGTCAGCTACGCAGGCCTCTGGCGGTTACAGTAAAGTTAGGACTGTAAAAGAGGAAGAAGATGAAGATAAACTTGACCAGCTCGTTAATATGATGAAAAGCATGACATACAAGAAAACGAAGACCATAAGATGCTGGAATTGTGGCGAAATAGGACACGTACAAAGTGCATGTAAGCATCCTAGGTACGACACAAATCAAGAAACTCACCATCAGGAAAACTAGAACGGGTCGGCCTTAGGGGGGCAGCTTCGACCCAGAACTTTTCCAAAGACCCTCTTATACTAATAGCTTCTTTGAAATGTCGTGAAGATAGTGTATATGTAGATGGAGAAATAAATGGTAAAAAGCATACGTTGTTGGTGGATACCGGAGCGACCAGAAGCATTATACGCCCGACAGTTATAAACAGCCGAAAGAAACTGTTACCAACGAGATTGCGACTTCGGACCGCCACAGGTGAAAATGCCAACATTCATGGAGAAATCCAGGTACAATTAGGAATTGGAGCAGAAAAGTTCGTCCATACTGTTATAGTTGCTGACATCGAAGAGGATGTTATATTAGGAATGGACGTAATGAATACGCATGGATTCCAATTGGATTTTAAGAATAAGGTAATCAAAGTTGGTAACGAGGAGGTATTTCTCCATCCACATGATGACAACACTATGCAAGCAGCCGTTAAAGAAGATACAGTCGTGCCTGCGAGAAGTGAAACGATAATAGTAGCGCGGCTACAGGGAATTGTGGACGAAGGAACACCTGTTATGATGGAGCCTTGGAATCATGACGACGAAGTTGGCCGTGGAATCATAATTGGAAAAGAATTAGTGACTTCGGCTAAAGAAATTCCTGTGAGACTTATTAATGTCAATGACTACCCAGTGACCATCAAGAAAGAGACAAAAGTAGGAACTTGTGTACCTGTCACATCCATAATCCGTCAGACGACAACGTCTGATAATTCCAACGATAAATTTGATCAAATGGTTGCGGTTGCTGGACAGTCTCTGAATCAGATTGAGAAAAGAAAATTAAGGGAATTTCTTCATCAGTATCGTGATATTTTCGTACCGAAAGGAGGAAAGACGGGAAGAACTACCGTTGTTAAGCATAAAATTGATACTGGTAATGCTAAGCCAATTCGTCAAACAGCTCGACGATTACCACAGGCGAAAAGAGAGGAAGCTGAAACGATTGTTCAGGAAATGAAGAAAGACGGGGTGATAGAACCTTCTACGAGCCCATGGGTCTCTCCGGTGGTCCTGGTTAAGAAGAAAGACGGAACAACGAGGTTCTGTGTGGATTACCGTTTGTTGAACAACGTTACCAAGAAAGATAGTTATCCTCTGCCTCGGATCGATGACACACTAGACACATTGGCCGGAAGTAAACTATTTTCTACTTTGGATTTGAAGTCTGGATACTGGCAGGTAGAAATGGATCCGGTAGATAAAGAAAAGACAGCCTTCACCACAGGATCTGGATTATGGCAATTCAACGTTATGCCATTTGGACTTTGTAACGCTCCTGCGACATTTGAGAGGCTTATGGAAAATGTGTTGAGAGGGCTATCTTGGAAAACATGCTTAGTTTATCTAGACGACATAATCGTCTTGGGGGAGACATTTGAAGACCATCTGAAGAATTTAGAAAACGTTTTTAATCGACTTAAAGCTGCCCAATTGATGTTAAACCCCAAGAAGTGCCAGCTATTTCAAGGTAAAGTCAATTATCTGGGTCATATAGTCAGTAAAGAAGGAGTGGCTGTGGATAAGGGAAAAATCGATTCCATTAAGGAATGGCCAAAACCAACTGACAAACATCAAGTAAGAAGTTTTCTTGGACTATGTACTTATTACCGGAGGTTTATTAAGAAGTTTGCAGATATCGCTAAACCATTAACGCGACTTACAGAGGAAGCAAGAGAATACCGCTGGGATGTAGACTGCCAAAATGCCTTTGAGACCTTAAAAAAGCATTTAATCACAGCACCAATTTTAGGGTATCCACTGCCAGAAGGAGAGTTCATCTTAGATACAGATGCAAGTAATGTGGGAATTGGAGGAGTGCTGTCTCAGATTCAAGGAGGACAGGAAAGAGTCCTTGGATATTTTAGTAAAGTTCTCTCAAAACCTGAGCGAAATTATTGCGTCACGAGAAGAGAACTTCTGGCAGTAGTGAAATCAGTAGAGCACTTCTATCAATACCTCTATGGAAGGAAGTTTTTAATCCGAACCGACCATGCCGCCCTTAAGTGGTTGATGCAGTTTAAGAATCCAGAGGGTCAGATAGCCAGGTGGATCGAACGACTCCAAGAATATGATTTTAAGATTGAGCACCGGGCCGGAGTTAGCCACCGAAACGCCGATTCTCTTTCCAGAAGGCCATGCCCAGCAGAGTGTTCTCACTGCAACAAAACGGAATCCAAGGAAGCAGCAGTGCTAAGAACGACGGTGGTCCACGACGACTGGACGCCTACCAAGATCAGGGAAGAACAAGAGAGAGATCCAGTTATACAGAAAATCCGAAAATGGAAAGAGGAAAACCGTCGACCACCTTGACAAGAAATATCGAACCTAGGCTCAATAGTTAAGACGTATTGGGCCCAGTGGGACTCATTTATCATGGAAGATGGCTTGCTCAAACGAGTCCTGGAAAATGATGACGGTTCAGAGAAGAGAAGACAGTTGGTAATTCCAAAGAGCAGAATAGCCGAAGTACTTCGTCAGTTACACGACAGTCCATCAGGAGGGCATTTTGGTGTGAAAAAGACCCTTCAGCGAATTCGGGAACGGTTTTATTGGATGAACAGTTCCGACGATGTAAAAGACTGGTGTAAGAAATGTACTATTTGTGCTACGAGTAACGGGCCTTATCGAAAAAGGAGAGCTCCTATGAGACAATATAATGTTGGAAGCCCGTTTGAAAGAAT